ATGAAGGGTCAAAACCTGACATATAATGTGGAACTGTCTCGCTTTTTGTAACGATTTTTTGGCGATACAGATATTTGCTCAAGTACAGAAAACATAGCTGCCTTGCCGTACATCTCTTGGAATAAAAATAGTGACTATAATCAATGTTGTTTACCTCAGTTTTCAAAACATTTCCATACAGACCAGCGAGAACTATGGCAGCGGTAATCAGTTTATAACCTTTATGCCTTTCTCTCTCTACCCAAAACAAATCTAAAAATGCTGCTCTTGCCTGAGCTCTGTTTACTGGGCACCAAAAAATAACAAACTTAAGTTGGAGCAATATGGCTATGGACAATAGGTCCATTGCCGCTTTTATTGAAACAAACAGAACAAGAATGAATTCCGTTAAGGTGTTTGCCCAGTAAAGGTGCGGGCCAAGAAAAACGCACTAACACTAAATATACAACAAGAGAAAGTGGGCGGATCAGGGGAGGAGGAGGGAGTCAAAAAACAGCTTCTCACTCCGATTATTCGAGGCGAATGGTGAGCATATGGCTAAGGAGTTAATGTGACTTGTAAAAACCCTCAGAGGGGGTCAAGCGTAATGGCCATTGACCCCTGACCCAAACCCAATCCCCCTTGATTGTGAAATAAACCCGGGTCAAAGAGAGAAGGCATGAAAATTATATTTGCGAGCAAATATTTTGTCTTGAAAAAATAGATTCAGATTATAGTAGTTAATTTGTATTTCTATCACTTTTCAATTCCATCCAGGGATAAAAAAAATGTTTGATACCGGGCCAGGCGGTGTGCACACTCCGATTGCAAAGCATTGTGGTAGTGTTATTTACAATATGGCGGTAAAAGCGGTAGAAATGGGTAGAGTTTGACTGAATATTCCGTAAAGGTTAGGTCGTTTCTTTCACTATAGGTAAATATAATTTGATATATTCTGAACGTGTAGAAGTATCTTTCGTGCGCATTTGTCACGTATTATATCCTTCTCAAGAAAAACGCAAGCACTGTATTTTAGCATGTAATTTGAGACCTGTTTTAGAGCAAGTCAAATTCGTTGTACGTCGTAGTTTGAAGCCTTTAAAAGATTTGTATGGCCATATTGATCCTTCTTCAACAGCTCTGACCAAACGCGCTCAAAACGCGCCCCAACGATACAAATGTTTTAAGCACTTTAAGCGACAGTGTTTGAGACCCTTTTGTGGAGCGAAAAGGCCCATTGTTTTGTTTAGTATGTTGCGTTACATAGCGTTACTACTAGAAGGGCATTTATCAATCGCGTTGTAAATCTACTTTCCTAAAAGAAGGAAAATTAAATAATCGCGAGTGTCGTGTGGTAAATCTTCTATCTTGATCATTGAATGAAGGACAGTTTAATTAGAGCACTGAAAAGAATCACTTGATCCATGAAAACCTCTATATTGCGTGAGGCGACACGCCATAAAAACCGGAAACCAAAAGGCAGTCGACCGTTGAAAGGTGTTGATAGGCCGGTGCGTCTCCCACCATTCGCTAGCGCTTTTAAATCTTCTACCATCAAAGTTTCGATATTAAGAGAGTGTCTCTGTAAAAGCGGTCCGGTCGATTTTGCTTGGGTCACAGATCTCCCTCATTTCTTGTGCGTTGTAAGAAATTCATGTGCCTATAATAAAACCACAATCCGTTTGGTCGGATCTCTTTATTTTTCAAAGTTTTACGGAAATGAAATTTCACTCGAGCGAAGGCCTGTCGTGACACTTTTCAAGACTTTAATTTGAGACAACTTTGGAGGACAATTTAAAAAAAAACTAGGGAACTCAGCAAAAAACAAATACCAGAGCCATGTATATTCACTCTATCTTATCCATCGAGGCGACTTTCGTGAACATCACATTTCAATCAAAGAAACAGGAAGACTTGAATGACACCTTATCGGTTCGCTTAAGTCACACACGCGAAAACCAATAAAATTTAAGGTAAATTTTTGAAAAAGTGAGGCGTTCTTAACTGATCCAACTAACATAGCTAGGAAGAACACGCCATAGAAAAGGTAACTACAGAA